TACGCATGATTTAAACATACATTTTTTCCATTTGAATCATAAATAGCTTCTTATCTTTCAGTAATGTTAATACTGCGGTATCTAATTTTGACATATGTTCATAAGAAAACATACAAATTGCTTGTATAGATTGCACCATATTTCGTATTAAACTAAATTATTTTTACGAATGGTTTACAAGTTTATTAATATACTTCAATATAAACGTTGAATACTATTTCTATAGATTTCAAACTCGCGCCCTTAGAACTCACATTTTTAATTTTTGATGGTCTTACTTCCCGAGCGTAAGCTCAAGAAGTATTGTGTATACATTATAACAGGGTCCATCCGGCGAATGAAATAGGTCTTCCGCTTCTGTCTTTCTGTTTGTAAACAGATAATCTTCGAAACTATGGATCGATTGCTGTCAAAGTTTATAGGTATATTAGGAATATCGTAACACGTTAACCAAAATTTGTTTGATCATCCCCACCAACAATGTGATGACCTCACTCCAAAACTGTGCATAGCAAATGCCTTGTCTACAAAAAAAAAAAAAAAAACTTTATATTTTACAATTTAACCTTGAAACTGGAAAACCAATGCTCTGAAATCTTGCGAACGTTTTAAGGTTATCGTTAGAATAGTATATCGGTAAATTGTTAATCAAAATATATCCGTCGAGTGATTTTATGATGACGGCAAACTTTTCTTGGTACAGATTCGAAATTTCAATTTTTCACGATTGATAAGGAAGCTTTAATTTGTATTATGGAACTGGCCCTAAAGGCCGGTTTGTGCAGCTTCATTTAATGTAATAAATCAACCATAACAATACATAATAATTAATGCCGCTGTAAAAGGTAAGCAATTATATAATCCTATTATTTACTGAATAAATTTCTTTATTTTCTTTTTAGTTTGTTTCTGATTTGAGATTAAAGTTTTCCAGTTCGCACCAGGCAGTGTAATACTTCATTTGGTAATGCTACCGTTGGAGGTAATTTAGTTTTAAGTTGGTTTGTTAAATTTTTAAAAACGTTTGCTGTTTGGTTAATACCATCTCCTTGATAAACTAGAAACAACGTCTCTAAAATGTTTGCTGCATGTATTAAATCAGCACAAGGCTGCAGCAAGTTGCCTTGACCAAGAAAGTGTATCCAATTGGAGCTGCTTGGTCCAGGTATATTTTCCGCGGGAGTTCCAAGATATGGATATTTTAACCGGAAACGATGAGCAACATATCCAGCAACCTATTGGAGTCCTTCCTGGCTGACTTGAGTATTAGGTAGATTGACTTCAATTTCAGCGAACTTGTCAACAAGGTGAAGAGTTGCCACATCGCTTTCCTTGCCTAACATTTCATCTTCAATACCAGTGTCCAAAATATATGAAAATAATGAATGAGGCCTCATCCTCATCTTTTTCACAATTTTTATTGGCTGATATTGCAGCAGCAAAGTATTTGCCCAAAATGTACCACCTCAACCTGTATTTAAAGTCAATTGGATTAGGATCGTCATTGCTAGCACCCATGGCACGAATGAAAGAGAAAAAATTTCCAGTACGTCTTGGTTTAGGCGACATGTTAAAATGTAATCGACTTTAAAAATAGGGCTAATATATTGGTACAAACCTTGCAGGGACTTGTTACTTATGCTAATTCCTTTCTGGAATGCTAATAGCGATTTTTTCCCAATTCCTTGAACATGTGATATTGTTTCATTTATGGTCCACATTTATGCCATATGCACTACTTCCAGGAGGAGAGAATTTCAAATTGGTATTAAAAATATCGAACCAGTCATTGCCTAATTTTATGAATTTGGATGTTTCTGCATAATTTGCATCGTTTCATCAAAAGACAAAACCGTGATGCGTTCAAAGTCTGTTAAAGTGCGAGCTTTATCTTTTATCAAGACTGCCCACAGATTTTTGCCTAATGTCCAATGAGAATTTGCGAAGTGTACTCGGGGCTGGTAGTGGAAATTTGCACTTTTGCCGTAAGTATCTATATGCTTTGGAACTCACACTAGGAAGTGGGATGGCAGAGGAAATATCGGGCGGTCCATTTAACGTTTTGCTTTGTTTTTAATCGCGTTATTTGCTTTTGTAAAAATGGTTGACAAATTTTGTTTTAGCAGTTCATTTTCAAGTTGCAGTGCCTTGTTTTTTTCTATTAATTTCTGCAAGTCGTTATGTTTGCTTTGCCAGTCGCATTCCAAAAAAACATCGGTAACTGGAAATAATTCTTTTCTACAGGTCTCTCTGAGGGGTTTTTTTTTTTTAGTTTCTGTGTCTGAACAATGAAGACTAGAAATGGGTGAAACTGTGGGCTTCACGACTTGGGTTGAACCTCTATTGCTAGGAGACATTGGGGAGTGTTGTTGGTATAGTATTAGGCATTAAACTTCTTCTATTTTTAGGGCTATAATTTAACAACTGCTGTTGAAGTGATTTGTATGAAGCTTTTGAAGAAACATTTTCAGAGCATATTCGACCTGAAATAAGAAATTCTAAGCATTTTGTTCTGGTTAATATGCCGTTATTTATTCGCGAAGTGAGAAAAAAAAGACATCTGTTTTGCTTACAGTTAGACAAAAAATTTATTTTGTAGAAAAATGTTTTCAACTTTTTAAAAATCAAATAATTGAGAAATTGGAAAACTGCCAAAATTGTAAAATTAAAAAATCGAAAGTTTTTTTCAGTTGCCCAGAGAAATCAAAAATCGAAAGACAAATCGAAAAATTGAAAATTTAAAAAACAAGAAATTGAAAAATTCGAAAGTTGAAAAATCGAAAAACTGAAAATTTAGTAGTAAGATAAGACTGATTTTGGCAAATGATCTACTCTCTCAGACAACAAAGGGTGGGTGGGTGGGGCTAGCACTTGCCAAATAACCTACCCTCTAAGAATATAAAAGCCGGGTGGGCCGGGCTAGTATTTCCCAAAATAAGACTCATTTTGGCCAATTACCTACTCTTCTAAGAAAATAAAGAATAGGTCATCTGCCAAAATCAGTCTTATCCTGGCAAGTATGAGACTGATTTTTGCAAATGACATATCCTCTAAGAAAATAAGGGTGGGTAGACGGGGCTAGTACTTGTTAAGATAAGACTGATATTGGCAAATAACATACCCTCTGAGAAAATAGGTATAATGGAGGGTAATTTTTCACTACATTTCAACTATCTCGTTATAATGCAAAAAACTCATCTATTGAATAGAATGCTTTCTCTAACAATTTTTTTTTAGTTTGCTTACAAACAAAGCTTTTAATTGGCAACTATTTCATCGTATTTGAAAGTTTATTAAAAAAATTACTGCAATCTTTATGAGTACACCATTCCTCGTTTTGGATAAACGTAACGTTTTATATTGTATGTACACGTCTTCTAGCCGAGTTTTGTAATTACCTATTTGCATTATTTAGTTTGGAATACAGTTCCATATTTTTTGTTATGTACTATAAACATTTAGATATCAATAAACAGGAAAAAGTTAAAATGTTACATTACGAAAACGTTCTCAACAATCATCTCGGTACTTCAAATTTAATGCAACTCTAATTGCTCTCGTCTGTAATCCAAATATACCTACGATATCTCTGTAATTTTCCTGATCCATCATGATTTGAACCTTCGCGCATTAGTTAAATTCCATTTGACGTCACACAAAATGGGCGATAGCATACCATGTTTTCTTATACATCATGGCTATACTATTTTTACTACTCGAGATGTATTTAATTATTAGTTATTTCATGTTTGTATACTTTATTGCTCATTACCATACTACTAAAAAAAGTCAATTTCACTTTAAAATACTTGATGATACATCGTCACCATAGCAGCAAATATAAACATTCATCAGTCAAAAATAAAGCTTCTAGTATGTTTTCGCAGCTATTTGTTTCATACTTTTAACATACACCACAAGTCCACAAATGCTAGAACGTTGTACCATTAATTTTTTTTCTTCTTTTTTTACAAAAAGCTCAAATGTTGATTTACTACAACTTGATAATACTCGGTTAACAGAAGCACTTAACCACGCCATTAATTTGATCACGTGATCAACTTCAACCAATCAAGTGGTCAGCGTGGTCAGTTTCACGGGTAATCGCACACAAAATTTTAATTTGAATTAAATATTCACCCACCTACCATAAACCGACTCTAAATGAGAAATGCCTTTTTATTATTGACTGCAACATCCCAAACATTGGTTTAAGCTTACAACTTACAAGGATGATTAACAGAAAAAAAAATGAACTGTGTTAACCTCAACGTTGTAAATTTATGAGATTCATGGCTCATCTCCTGATACTGCAATATAATTACGAATCGATTTACGACTATTTATGACATTGTTAATTACTGGTGCCGCAAATTTGGCCATTTGTTGCTATGTGTCTCTGTTTTTGGTATCTATATTAATTTAGCACCTATTCATCACCTTCAACTTTTAGAATACCTAATACCATTCACAAATAATGTTTTTGTACAAAAAACTGGGGTTATGTAAACATGTTGATAGTTAAACTAAATTTTTAAAATTAAAACCAAATTTACAATTTAATTTCTGATAAGGTATGCTTCATGGTAGCATGGGGGAAGTTTCTCTACGTCATGGTTCTGAGAGGCCGGCCTTGTGTCTACTAATCATAATTGAACACACCATTCACTCTGCCCATTGTTTGCACGATAATAAATAAAGTATACCGTCATCTCAACGACGCAAAAATTAAAACGACACCGCTTTTTAAGTTTTACATCACTGAGGGGCATCACGATGGGGAGCAAATGTCAAAGATCACTGATAAATAATGTGCTCGTAAAGAAGCAAACGCTCTCAAATAAAAATTCTATTGCAAACCGGTACCGCAAAGTTTAAATAGGGTTAAAGTGATATCGAAGATTATCGGCTATTTCCATAAAATTAGTTCTTTAACCCCTTATTCAATCTTATGTAACCTACACAGTACATAGACAAATTAAATGAAGTTAAACACTTACCGCACAAAAGCTGAATAAATAACAATCGCTATTGCAAAGGCAAGTGCAGAAATACTATGTGGGGTGTAGAAAAATTCCAATGAGATATCATCCACAGGTTTCTCGTTGATAGTATTGAAACTATCAAACCTAGCCCTCGCAGAGTTGGAATTGGTTTTGGCGTTCTTCTCCATTGTCTTCTTTTTTTATTATACTGACAATCATCGACAAAACTGCGAGACAACTATTCGAACATACACCACCTGCACCGTTTGAACCAACATGTGATTTTGCAAGGCCATTAATAACACGCGCGAATAAAATACCGAATGACAGTTATAGATGTCAAGTTCATCATTATGGTTGCCAACATAAAAAGGAATTCCCTGGCATGTTAATCTGGGCTGTGTCTACGGCGTTACATAAGTTGCATAAATTCGAATGAAAATATTTAACTGCACGGTTTGATTATTCTTGTATGTTAATTATAGTACAAGACGTACAGTTTTTCTCTTTAAAGTCAGTCAAATATTTTATGGAGTCATTTTAGTCTTCATTTAGGACGCGTGTACTTCCGGGAAATGGTGGTGGCTAAAGTCACGTCTGACAATTGATATGCAATTGATTGACATAACCTGAAAATATTTACAGTCAATAGAGTCCTTGCTCATCAAACTGAATAAAAATAATGTCTAGTAAGCATCAAAACAAACGCCTAAAATGGAGTTTGGACGCCGTCAGGTAAATTTTTGAATTCGAATTTCTCGGTATAGTGAAGACGGGCGTTCTTTCAGAAATCGAAGTTTAACAGAGGGCCTCGCTCCTCCTCCAGCTTACAGTCTCTCAGGCCCCGCAGTGAGCAGTGAAGTATCGAAAAAAACGGACGTAAGTCGACTAATAACGAAAAAGTCATGGGATTTGGCCTTGGCCCCTTTAAAACAAGTTCCGATGAATTTGTTCATAATGTACATGGCTGGTAACTCAATTTCAATTTTTCCAATAATGATGGTCGGCATGTTGTTGATGCGACCAATTCAGGCGATCTGGGCAACGAAAAGTACGTTCAAGATGGTTGAAAATACAAGTGCAGTGGGACAAATATTCGTGTACCTTCTGGGTAATTTTATTAATATTGGATTGGCTCTGTATAAGTGTCAGAGCATGGGATTACTGCCTACACATTCCAGTGATTGGCTGGCGTTTGTTGAACCTCCGGTGAGACTAGAGTATTTAGGTGGTGGAGTCACACTATTGTAATGTATTAGCATAATTTTATTTAAAATAAATCACATGAATACTAAGTACTCCTAAGTTTATTCCTTTCTATGCTTATCGGCAAAATCTTTAATTTTTTCATACAGGGCTTGAGGATCATCAACTCTTGGAATCTGAAAATAAGAAAGTCATTCATTGGTAAATTTTATGTCTGTTGTGTACACAACGTAAGCTATGGATTTATTTGAAACACGGATACTTACATCATAGTTTTGAGCAAAGTACACTCCTGCGTAGAGCCCAACAAAGAAACTAAACTACAGAAAGAATATCAGTGCTTTGTGAATTTTATTTTTTTTTATTTACTTACCAAACCTCTAACCATTGTTATAATTTGTGTTATGTATTACTAGGTTAGTATATTTTTATTTTTATCAACTGTTATCTCTAGTCATTTAATATTTATGCTTGTGATCACATTTGATAGTTATGATACGGGTAATGACAGTGACAGGTGACAGGCTGACAGCTGATCTTGTAGAGGGCATAGGACCACAGAACTACCACCACAAACGAGAATTTAGCTGGTTTTTATTTTATATGTCTGAAAAAAGTTCGTGTTAGTAATTTTGCATAAGTATAATTAATAGTTTCCCCACATCTTAAAAAAGAATGTTGATATTTATTACAATAAAGAAGTCGTTTAGTGAGAAATTTGTAGCAAAATATCCCTAGCAATCCAACTTGTCACTTATTTGACAGTTTTGAAAGTCGTTTTTTTCTTGTAGTCAGGTCGTTAGTTTTTTGTAGTTGTAGGTCTGTTGTTGCATTTTAAAAATGGATAGTTCGTTAACAAATTTTGGTAATTATTTGTAATACATACTGCAACCGTTTACTAAAAAGTATTTGTAGAACTAACGGATAGCACCATTAAAGTGAATTCAGATTCCGAACATGGCTCTGATAAAAGCGAAACTCTTGAAATCCTGAGTATCGGTGAGACGGATCAGTCATCAACTAATGGTGCTAAAACTGATGAGGAGTTTGACAATAACTTACCAGAAACTGTTACTTTGCTAAAACATGAAGCAACAGGTGCCAAAGTTTATCTTGTTGGAACGGCCCACTTTAGCAACGAATCAAAAGAAGATGTGATTAAAGTGAGGTTCCATACAAGTTTAGAGTTATTAACTTAATGTTCATAATTATATTTCAGGTGATTCAAAATGTTTTCCCCCATGTTGTTGTTTTAGAATTGTGTGCTTCACGCACAAATATTCTCTCTTTAGATGAAAAAACTATTTTAGAAGAGGCCAAAAATGTTGACTTTCGAAAAGTTGTTGCCAATATTAAGTCCAATGGCCTTTATAATGGGATCATGTATATATTGTTACTCAATATGAGTGCTCATATTACAAAAGAATTGGGAATGGCCCCTGGAGGTGAATTTAGAGCAGCTTATCGAGAAGTATTACATGAAACTCTAGCAGTTATTTGTTTTAATGATTCTAACATTAGGCTGAAAAACTTCAAAATTGTGAAGTACTTCTAGGGGATCGTCCACTTAGCATCACAGTTCAGAGAGCACTTGCCAAATTAACTTGGTGTCAAACTTTTAAACTGGCATGGCATTTATTAACTTCCAAGGAAAAAGTGAGGTATTGTTTCACTTTTCACATTGTATTATCAAATTAATTGATTGTTTCAAAGTGTGGAAGATATAGAGAAGTGTAAGAAACGTGATATGCTGGAGCAGTTATTGACTGAGTTAGCTGGAGAATATCCAGCTTTTCGAGATGTATTTCTAAATGAAAGAGACATATATTTAACTCACTCTCTCCAGGCTGCAGCTATAACAGCACATAAGAAAATTAAAGCAAAAGAAGGTAGACATTTTTTTTTAAACTGATGGTTTATATTGAATGGAATTTTTAGCTCTTGGCGGAAATGGTGATGCAAGTGAATCTGTCAGAGTTGTAGGAGTAGTAGGAATAGGCCACGTGCCTGGAATAACGAAACTTTGGCCTAAAGACCAAAAACCTTATATTGCTGAAATTCTAAAAATTCCACCAGCGTCACTTACCTCGAAGGTGGTGAGAATGAGTTTCCGAATTACATTGTTGACTCTTGGAGGTTATTTGGTGTATCGATTTGTTCCTGTTCCTAAAATGCTCAAGGAAAATGCTCAACCGTTTATCCACAATCTGCTGGCCAGCGTCACTAGTGCCAAGGCAAGCTCTGACTTTAAATACGTTTTGCATTAACTTAATAATGGTTTAGCACTTTAAAAGTAAATAACCTTGGCTTTTAGTTTAATAATTTTGAAGCAGCTCTCGTTATATTTTTGTAAATTTTAAAGCTGTTATTTTTTTTATCTAAGTCATACATTCCAGTTGTTAAGGAGGATAAGTAAGTAAATGATATCTAAAACATTTTGTAATTAAATTAATATATTTCTATAAACAATTATTGTATCAAACAATCAATACATTATTTGGAAGACTTTTTGGCAGGATTTTTTAAGTACTTGGATACAGTAATTTTTGAAATTATTTTGTACTCACTGCCAGTTTGAGAAAAATTAAGCTTTAACGTCACCTGCACAGCGAAAACCTAAGTTTCCAGCTGAACTATCTTTTGTGTTGAACGATCTGGCTGCACATCTGTATCTCCAACAGTATGATTCATGGCAAAGATAAGAACCTCCTTTCTTTACTTTTGCGTCCTAAAATTTTTATTACATATTATATTTTTGTTATATTGGTGTAAATAAAGTTTGGTAAAAAACTTACTGGGTCGTTTAACCAGTTATCCTGAGTCCATTCCCATACATTTCCTGCCATGTTATGTAGCCCGAATTTATTTGGAGGAAAACTGTCAACTGGCGCTGTTGATAAATAACCATCTTCGGCTGTGTTAGTTAATGGAAAGTCACCTTGCCATATGTTTGCCCTTTAATAAAACTGAAAATGATAAATATATTATAAATTATAATAAGTACAAACCAGTGTTGATCTTTAGGATTAAGTTTATTTCCCCAAGGATACAACTTCTGTTTTAATCCTGCTCGGCATGACATTTCCCATTCAGCCTCAGTGGGTAGTCGTTTTCCAACAAAGTTACAATATTTCTGTGCATCATTCCATGACACATGAATTACAGGATGGTCAAGTCGATCTGTCAAAATATATTTTGAAATAACATTCACACAAACGATTTTTACCAAAATACCGTCAATTGTGGAACCCTCTCCTTCTGGATGCTTCCAGGTAACGCCTTTCATTTTGATCCACCAAGGTGCTTGTACAGCCCGAAAGTCCTTGTATTGCTCTCGTTCACTCTCAGGAACTAACATTTCAAATATAAAACTGTCACCAAATTTTTCGGCTTCGGTTATATACCCTGTTTCTTCAATAAATTTACTGAATTGTTTATTGGAGACCTCATACTTGTCTAGATAAAATGAACTGACAGTAATATTACGTATGGGGCCTTCATGATCACTTTCAAATACTGGTTTGTCAGTGCCCATTTCGAATGTTGCTCCTTCAATTAGGCTCATGTGGGTTTGGTCAAAATCTGCACGTTCTTTGAGATTCTCATCGTCGTTAAGTGCTTGTGAATATTTATCATGTGGTTGCTCCTCATTTGTACACTTTGCGTTTCTGTTTAGTTGACAGCCACAGTCGCCCGTGCAGACGTTAAAAATATTAAGTAAAGTGAGAGTTAAGTATAAAAACATTAAGTACATTTTGGATAGGAGTGTATTTGACTAAAAATAATTAGAAGTAATAAGTAATATTACGAGAAAATAGTATTCAAGAAATGCAATGCGAAGTAACTATTTCGAGTAAGAATTCATGAGTTTGCATTGTTTTACACTACAATTGATATGTGTTTTGTGAGCATATGTTTGGTTTTATCATTATTGTGAAATATGAGGTTATGTTTAATTTTAATGACATGATTATTATTGAGTTTGACATTATGAAACAGGACCGGACTGACTTAAAATTGTTTCAGTTCGGTTGAAGAGGAACACGTATAGAGTGTACGTACTGGTTTACAAGTGTTTTGTTTATATGTTATATAATTATACTTTTGATAATGTACACAGTACACAGTGAAGGTTTTTTTGAGATTTTAGATTTTTTTATGTATTACATCATGGTAGAAGGAGACATGGTATAGGCATACGCATCGGGTGTGACGTCAAGTGGGGTGAAATTAGCGCGAAATTTAAAATACAATTCGTTATCCGACAACTAATTGACGTATTGGACAGAGCAATGACAACTCAAGCTGAAATTCCCTAGACTTCCCTAGCGAAGCTCACAAGAATCACAAGGTCGTTGATGCCACCTAACGTCACAAATGGATGCGCAGACCATTTTTAAATTGGTACATCGGATGCCTATACCATGTCTCCTTGTACCATGTATTACATAATTCTGTAGAAGGACATCATACATTTTTTGGAGGGAATAGATAAGTTGTCATTCATATATACAATGTGATACCGATTATGATGTTCCTGTACGAAAGGTGACATAAAGTAGTAGATGTGCCATTTTTGAGATAATCGATAATATAAAGTTTTGTTTTGATCATGTATTTATTACTACTAGTGGTATATACCATGGTACAATACATGGTTTTTCTAAAAAAAATTGCATGTTCTGAGCGTTTCGAAAAAAAATTGAAGAATGGTAATGAAGCACAAGCAACAATCAAACGTATTTTTCAACTGGTTTTGTTCAATAATTTTTTTGAGAAGTTATCAGCTACCTGAAAGGGATAAGAAAATAAATTTAAAAACATGGTAATATAGTATTTAGAATAAATTAAATAATTAAAAAAAGCAGACGTGAAGAAGCATTTTCGTATTTGAAAAACAATACAACTGAAAGTTTTTGAATGACATTTTAAAATTATGAAGTATGTTTTTGAATAAGAAATATATTTTTCATAACTATTTACTTATCAAAATTTAAGCATTTTTTAAAATATCAATAAAAAATTGGTCGAAAGTTATTTCGACAGAACTTCCTTCGCCAATGAGTACAAGTCCACTTTTTCGAAAATCATTTGATTTTGCGAATTTAATTTTTTTATGATAACTCTTTAAGTTAAAATAAATATATGTATGTAATATTAAAGTAATCATAAAGAAATGTTTCAAGTGAGTTTTTCCAATACAAAATTTTGTGATAACGTCATCAGCATTTTTGCAAGGACTGTAGGTATATCAGTTTGCACAAATGCAGTGTAGATATAATACTAATAACAGCAGTACTGTATTGCCAAATTTTCGGGAAAATGAAGTGAGTGGTTCTTAACTTAATCAGTACAATAAAGTGCGTTACTCATTCATTTTTTTGAGTGCTTCTGTATAAGTAATTCTAAAAACTATGCATCCATTGGTAAACTATAAGTATAGAGCACGGTTGTAGAATAGATAGGTTTGTACACTAATGGCTTGGGATGGCGACGCTTCTTTTCGATCCCTATATCCATGGAAAGGACACATACAGCTAGCGCCTCTACCTTGTCGAGCGGAAATCATTCTAGTTATTTTGGGGATTTTCGTTTACATTGCTTTATGAACAATACAAAATTTGTAAATGACATTTGATCGGAGTCGATAAGTAGGATTTCTTTTATTAATTACATCGGTTATAGACAGATGCCTATAGAGTTCTGTGTCCCTAAAACGTCAAAAACCAGGCGACGCGATCGACAATTGGCGTCGCTAACCAGGGATATGCAAATGTATGCTAGTGTATCAACCTATCTATTCTACAACCGTGGTATAGAGTCATAATATTTTACAGATTTGAAATAGAATTGATTCGGAAAAAATTGGAATGAGTCATCAATTTTTTGGGAGGGAATAAACGAATAAATTTTGATTAAAGATTTACCAGGACTACGATAACCCTAAAACGGTTGCAATATTTCAGAGCATTCGGTTTTGCAGTTTCAAAGTTAAATTGCAAAATGTTATACAATTTTAATTTTTTTTTCCAAAAATCTGGATGTCTAAGGTGAAAACACAGCATGGAGTCATACACCGCAAGTGCAGAAGTATCGTACATAATTGACCCTTTTCCTGTAAGATCGTAAAACTTCTATAGTGACTTTCCGTGCGCATGCATCTTCGAAACCACGTTGGAAATAATATCCGGCCTGTGACAACAAACCGCTTTGACAGATTGCAACCGGCTACACATGCGTAACTTGTCGCTCATTGGTTAATTTTAACTTGGCGCTCCAACAATCTGACTTCGCCTGCGCGATGTTGTCTCACTCTGTATCATTGGAATTTATATAATGTCTACTCACTTTGCTTACAGGAAAAGGGTCAAATATAAAATAAAAATACAATTGCAAATTTTGGAATGACGTCATTCCATTGGTGATGGGGATGATCAGGCAACATTTGGTTAGCGTTTTACCATCTACACGCTATTCCTAATACACGTATAAAATTTGAAAACAATTGGGACGGCCTTTCTGTCTAATAAAAACTGATACAGGCGTCAGACAGACGCAGGCGCGGATACAGGATTTCGTTCAGGGGGGGGGCAATTTTTGTGTGATTTTACCTATCTACCAGAAATTCGTTCTAAACAAAAAAATTTATAAAATTTTAGCTAGTATACTCTTTTTCACATAACATGGGTGACATTTGGTTTTTTGACGTGACAACGTCTTATAAATCGATGGAGCCGGCTGCACGCTCGAAAAAGCATGACTCATACCGTTACTGTCACGTTCCATGTAAGGCTTGAAGTGCAAGCGAGAACGCGAAACGAGCGACAAAGAGGCACAATCGGCCTTCGCGTTCGGCAGCGTTCGCCATCCGTCTCTCTCCTACTTGAGTGAGCGATGCGTCTGCGTGGACAGCTGCTATATTATAGTACATTTACATGTTTTGGTCGAGTATCAAGTGCAGTGAAAAGTGAATGTAGTGTCAATTTTGACGTGACAACCACGGTGGTATAAGTAAGGTGTTTCAACTCCATTCATAAATTTTCATAAAACGGGCGCTTAAAAACTGGTATCGTAGTAGGTTGTGGGAGCTTAAGATGACCGCCACCATGTGGTAGTTAATTGTACTATTTGCACTATCGACTGACGTTTGACATGACATTTGACGTATATTTCCCCTCATCTTTCAAAAAGATGTCACAAAACCTAACCTATAAAGCTGACATTTGTGACAACTTGCATTCAAGGACATTTTTACGCAAATTTCATTCATTGTTGTGGACAGTTTCATCATAGTATCCAGTAGACGGCGCTAGGAACTTTAAGCTCCCGTGGCCTTCTGGGATCTCTTTGAAAAAAGACCATTTTAAACTCGGAGTTCGCAGACCTGTTATATATGGCCGTGGTGACAACGATAATATTTTAAGAATTTTATTTAAATTGTTTCGAACGACGATTTATTTTGCAGAACTGCTTACAAACGCACCATGGAAAAAAAGCCTGACAAACCAGAGGATGTTACGAATAAGCCTTTACCTTCAATGAGTGAACCCATGGAGGTTCAAGATGCTGTAGCATTTACTTTAGCAACGCCATTCGCGCAGCCAATAATCGCTGCTTCAAAATCAAAAGCCCAAAACCATTCCATCAGTATTTTCTTAAGACGTTGTCACGTTCAACTATCGTCAGTAAACCGACTTTACAGACAACCTCGTTTTTTTTTTCATTACACGTATAGTGTACAGTAGAACCTCGATAATCCTAATTCCTAATTGGGAAAAAGGTGTGTTCGGATTAACGATTTGTTCGGATCAGCAATTTTCGCAAAAATCTGAAAGGGAATTGAATAACAACTTCATACACAACTGAAAACAAACTTCAAGAAATAAATCTAAATTTTATTAAACAAAAATTAAAGAATTCTTAAGCAACAATGGATAATAGATACATTCTAAAAAAAATATTACTCCGTGACCATAAACACGCTATCTTTTTGGAATAAACACTCCGGGATCTATACCCTGAAATTTTTCAGAATTTTTAGATGAATTTCTCAAAAATGAAATTTTCCATTATGTATTCGTATTACCTCCATTATGCAAATTTCGACGATTTTCGAAATTTAACTAAATATTATTTTCTTCTAGATTTTGGACCTCAGAAGTCACTTCTGGCTTCATTTCTTCGATAACTTAAACCCATTTTTCCAGCATCGTCCAGTTGAAATATCGCAATTTTTAAAAATTTCGAAAAATTCGAATTTCACAGCGAATTTTCCGAAAATATTGCTCCGTTACCATATATTTTTGGAAGCAGCACGTCGGGATATATAGGTATCCCTGAATTTTTTCAGAATTTTTAGGAAAATTTTTCAAAAATGAAATTTTTCTCATGCAAATTTCGACCCATTTTCGACGATTTTCGAAATTTAACCAAATACTTTCTCTTGTAGATTTTGAGTCTCCGATAACTTCATCCATTTCTCCAAAATTAGTTAATTAATTTAGTGCTTTGAAATATCGCAATTTTTAAAAAATTCAGAATATTCCATACATATGCAGAAAGATCTTGCGTCATTTTTGGAAGTAGGTACATGTTTTCAAGTTCAGTTCGGATTGCAGAGTTTTTGTTCGGATTAAAGAGGCATCGACTTTAAATAGCCTCTGTTCGGATTACTGGATGTTGAGACAATCGTGAGTTCGGATAGAGGTTGTACTGTATTTACAAAATGAAATATGATTTCAAAATTTTGAAATTGGTCAAAATAAAGTACCTCGGTCGTGTGTCAGGGGGGGGGCAATTGCACCCATTGCACCCATTGCCCCCCCCCTGGATCCGCGCCTGGACAGACGGAAAAGGGAGACCACTTTTTTCGTATTCTAGGGGCCTTGAAACGTGAAAAAAACATGAAAGTGGCAAGTCGCCCGATTTCTAAGGCGCAGGAAGTCATTCATATGTATATGTGTAATATCCTTGGTCGGAAACGAAAATGACACAGGTGACAAACATAGAAAAGCAGTAACCTCAGTAAGCAAAATTTTTTTCGTATTGGTTTCACAATTGTCGCTATCCTCTCTCTATCTGGTCCAGTGATTCCCTGCAGCCGCCCTCCGCAAGTCCTACTTACACAACTGTTTTGTCTATGAGTTTGTTTACATATACTGTTTCATAGCGACGTACGGAGTCACGAATAAACAAATGAATGGATATTAATTTATTTTGGAGATTCTTCTGGAGATTTTTTTCTGCATTTATTGATGTACCTATCAAACGAGTACTTTAGTTTTGTCTATGATATCCATTGCAGTGATTGATGTATCATGCTAATAACAATGGAAAACTATGAATTGTTGTAAAGCACACTGATAAGTACAGTGTGATAACAATAACAATATCTATTGCATTCTCACATTGTATAGAAAATCGGGTGCCTTTTTGTTTTAATGGAGAAAAAAAATTGCAACGCTGTAGGATTCGTACTCGGGAATTCCACTGGGAAAGCAAGTCGTAACGCTCATAACGCTTAGTTTACGGAGTCGTGTATAATGTGACAAAAGAGGAGGAAACTTAAATAAATTGACTGATCCATTAATTTTTTTGACTCATCTTGTATAAGCAAATCTAAAAAATATGAATGCAGTGATAAATTACAAGTATATCTGATTATATTTTGCATATTTTGGGAAGGATTTATTCGGCAAAATATTGAGATGATGTAAATTACCATGCTTACAATAGCTTCAAAACATCTACGAGATTTCAAAGTATTCAGTTTTGCAACTCTTGATTTAATGATAAAATAAATTGACTCAGTGATTAATTTTTGGACACACCTCGTATAAACAAATCTAAAAATATTAACACAGTGATAAATCACAAGTGTTGACTCATACTTTGCACATTTAAGATAGGATTTATACAGCAAAATTTTGAGGTGACATCATCAATTTTTAGGGGGGGGATGAGCAAATACATTTTGACTAAAAATTTATCATGCTTATGATAACGTTAAAACATCTCCAAGATTTCAAAGCATTCGGTTTTGATTAAATCAATAAAATAAATTCACGCATTCATTTTTTTTTTGAGTGAGCATGTAAACTCAAATCCATAAGGTTGTAACCACTCCCTAGTGTAAATTTTAAAAAATTATTCAGTGTAAACCTGTCTTTTAGTAGCCTGGTGACATATCTGGTGACCTGTCAATATAATGTCAGTTCATTCATGTATTCGCGACACATGATTACGTTCGACTTCACTGCAATTCTTGCACTCCTGCACAGGTTATTTCATAATTATCATTGTAACTTGTCGCAATATTGTCAAAAATGGATAAACAATTTTCAATGAAAACAGGATAACCTGAGTCTTCATGGTAATTATGATACAAGAGCAACGATAAATAGAAACGTGTTTTATCTTTCATCTGTAGAAAGAAGAATGCCACCTGCTGTAATTTAGACTTGCAGTTGATACGTTTACGAATTACGATAAAATGAAGCCAAAAATATTGTGGTCACGAATGAAATCAAATGTTGGGTTGGTAAAAAAACAAGGTGAATGAATGACCGAATCTGCCCATCCCTAACAGATATGATTCCGTAAATAATATGACATTTCTTGTTGACAAAACCAGACAAAACGTTCACCGAAAACCTTAAAATGAAAAAGAAACTATGTTCTTCAATGTCGGAGCACCTTTAGTGACGCTAGTGACCTCTTTATGTCGTTCCGTAAGCTCTCCATGTATTTCTTATGGAATCAGCTGAGACTTTCATAGCCCTGTCGTTACACTCCTTACATACTGAAAAGATTTTTACAAGCTTGAATTCAAGCTCTCGGGACGATGCTTAGGGATAAGCAAGTTTCAATTCATTGTGGCAGTTGGCAAGTGCCATTTTCATCTGCTTATTTATCACAATATGCCGTGTTGGTACCATTTTTCAATGATATGGCTTAATAACAAACTATCTCGTGCGTAATTGTCAAATTTTGACACATGCGCCGTTACCAATCTATTCATGTGAAAAACACCATTGGCTGTAATGCCAACCTTACAATTTAACGAGTGGTTACAACCTTATGGATTTAACTGTATATGCAAATCCAAAAAATATAAATGAAATGATAGATTACAAGTACAAATTCATCATATTTTGTACAATTTAGATTCTTCGCTTACGCTCGGAAAGTAAAAATGATGTTGCTGTTTAAAAAATGTTGACATTATGAATCAGCACTTTTCAACCTTATTTTTTCTACTGGCTGATATATAGAGAATTTTCTTCAAATTTTATTTGTACTGCATTTTATTTTCTAAACAGCAAAGATAAATGAGTTTTCATCTTGGAAGATTTAATAGAATAATGGCCCATTTTATAAAAGAGCTTTATTATAGAAAAGTAAATATATTTCTTTTAAATAATAAACAATCGCTATTATAATTACTAAATTCTATAAGTAGGTTACTTTTCCAAACTATCATGATTGCCGAGATTACCTAATTAATTACAACTGATACGTTGCTTATCACAAGAATATCACTCATGGTTTTCGTTTGCTTTGTTTTTTCTTTTTCTCTTCTTCGACTATCTCATCGCGACTGGGTCCTGCTACTGCAGTAGCTTGAGGACTAGAAACCGCAACTCCATCTTTTCCTACGAAAGCCGTTCCTCTTGGAGCAGCAGCCGCTACACCTCCAGGTCCAGCAAGAGCAATAGCGCCAGGTTGCGCCTGTGCAATGGTAGGTTCACTGAGTTTGTCTGCAGCAGAAACAACTGAAACAACAACCAAAATGAATGAAATGTTACCAGTCTTAATATTTGAGTAATTTTACCTTCAGCGTCCCCCTCTGCAGAATCTCCTTCTTCATCACTCAGATGGTCTCCAGCATCGATAACTACGGAATCATCGTCTTGCTGATCGTTATCTGCGTACTCCAGAATTCCAAAACGATTACCAATTTCAGAATTTACTGCTTGCCGAAACTGCGCCTTGTCTTCTTTAGATTGCTCTAAATTTGCGGGTAAGGGATTTCTGAAAATACTGTCTTGAAAACTTCCTGGTTGGTTTAACAGAACTAAATTCTCAGGATACCCTTGTGGCAATGAAGTTTCGTCGCTTAATGCGTGTCTGGCAGAAATAGCTTCAATGGGCCTGTTTCTGAACACCAGATTTTGATATGGGGAAATAGTTTTAGTGGAAATTTGTGGGGCAAAGCTTGAACCTGTTTGAGCATACTTTAAATTGACATTTGATTGGACTCCGGGATAGATTTGATTATTGTAAGGGAAATTGGAGAAGAGTGGTTGTCCATTTAAGATGAAAAATCTCTGTCCTGGTCTGAGGTTTGTAGTGGGGTTGAATGCAGGATTGCGGTCTGCTGCAGCAAGAACGTCGGCTTCGGTTGCTTGTTTCTTGGTGTTGTCGTCTTCGTTAAAAGTTTCTATTTTTTCGGGCCTTTTTTCTCCTAAAATAGAAGCACGTGGTAAAGTAACATGACTTTAACATCTTTTTTTTCTCTTATTTGAATGGCAAGCTGCCTTTTTCATTCAAGACTAAAATTATAGCGCTAACACTAGAGATGCTTTTTGTTGCTAAGAACATTTTATTTTTTAATGTATTTTGTAGCGAAAAAAGAAAGAAAAAGAATGTCAGTTAGAAATGTTTTGTTGTTTTAATGGAAACTTACATAAAGAGAATAATATTATTAATGCATCTTTTTTAATTATCAATCAGATACAAAAAGTTAATAAATTATTATTGAAAATAAGGAACAAGTTTATTAGAAAGCAGGGTTATTGCCACAGATTTTTATAAATATTTGTACTCTGTGTGAGAGGCATAGAAAATACATGTACGTAACTTCAACTTATTTGGTATTAGTTGATGATTCTTTGATTCAAAAAAAGATATTAACTGATTCTAATCTACTAATTTAAGATTTTGTCATCCTAAATTGGAAATGGTATTAGTGATTATGCAAATTCAAATTTTTGTATTACGTATTTAGAATTTAGGACGTAAGCTTGTTAAATTAATGAAATATTTTAATGGAAACTTTTTGTGTGGGGATTTTGATATTAAAATTCTTCTTAAATTAACAGAATCACTTATAGCGGTAAGTATCTGTAGCAACGCCCTAAAATTTACGAGTTATAATCACAGATGGTTACCAGGTTTTTTGATTAATTATCAAAACAAGCAAGAAATCCAAAATTTAATTAATTTTGGATTTCTTGCATAAAATAGCAGACAAAATTAAGCGACAAAGTGGATTCGTAACTATAGCCTATACTTGATTTGTCAAAACTCTGAAGCTTTAACCACTACATTTAAGTATCAAAACAGAATGACATAAGTGACAGATATAATACATATTTGAACATTCACTCGGACCTACAAATGACACCATAAATTGTGGCTAAAGCAACGTCAGTCTATAGTTTATAATATACAGCGTGTTATTGAAAGGTACGTACAAAATAAAATCGGCAATTTGTCTCGAAGTACGGGTGCTAAAAGTAAAAAAAAGTTCAGGTAAAAGTGTTCTCCTTTTAGAGATAAAAATTATTAAAATTTATGTCCAAATTAGTTGTACGCCTCTGATAAAAAGATCATCTTTCTTTTCTATAGCAACATTTAGTCTTGACAAAAGTTTTGTTGTTACAGTTGCTAGGATTTACTAAAATAAATTAATTTTACCTATTTATCCTTCAGTAGCGCCTAAAAAGGTTGGATAAGGGTTAATTTTCCCCTTATAATTTTGATAACACAAAATAAGTTTTTCAGACTTCTTAGACTTCTCGAAGAACTGTCAATTTTGTTGCACGTACCTTTCAATAACACCCTGTATGAATCTCCTCAAAATTTTGACGTAAATGACGTTTCTTTGTCGCTAAGTGTTATATGCAACTTACGTTATTAATAAATAATCTTTCAAGAACAAAATGTTGCTTGCTATTTTCAATGTCGTAATTAATTACATTGGTCTGCAACAAAAATGGCTCAAAAAAACTATACGTGTATTTTATAGATTTTGATGTGTTAAATTCAAATGTGCCAACAGTGCCAACAGATTTTTTATCACGTTACACTTTTGAAATATGAAAGCAGAAAATTTTTCTCAAAAATCCAAATTTAAAGAATTTTGTTCCCGACTTTACACTTGCACTATACTCAATTTTATCTATTCAGATTGCAGTATCTCAGTAACCGGATGTGATAGGAAAATTCTGAAAATAGATTTGAACTCAGTCTTTACAAGATTTGTATCATTTAATTCAGGAGCCGGAACAATTTAAATTTTCTACAGATCAGTGTATTTTTAATTTATTAATCAATATGGAGCTGAAAATTAAAATATCAAACTAATACATACAGTTGTTTTCAAAAAATTTCGGGTAAGATGAGCAAATCAGGTTCTCATAGATCAATTAAAAGCAATTGGAATATGACTTTCATGTCAGTGTCATTTGCCTGAAATGTTTTGGAAACGACGGTATTGCAGAAATTGTCCAAAGTATATTGGAATTAAGCAAAGCGTGGAAAATATTAATAACTAAAACAAGAACGGAAATGTTTTTGTGAAAAACAAAAACTTATCTTATGTAGATAGTACTTCCTTCACCATCGAAGTACAATTAAATAAATCCAGTTGTTTAGAAAAAATAATATAGGTACATAATACCTACCAATCGCAGTGTACGAAAAACATCTTGCTCATGAAAGGATCAAACCTTCGAGTTAGTAGCCCGTGCTCTAATCAACTAAACTATAAACCTTTGGGAAACGTGGCTATATATTCGTATAAAAAATTAAGGCGAATTCATAAACCACAAGTACAGGAGTATATTATAAAATTTAAATATCATTTATTATGAAAAAAATTGAGTTGACGTCATCAAATTGTTGGTGGAAATGATTAGACAGATTTTGGTTGGGGTTTTACCATGTACACAAAAATCGAAAAACCATGAAAGTAAATTCACAGATGGACCCTGTTACAATACTTTCTTAGCATACGCCGAGGAAGTAAAAAAATATCTATGATATAAAAAATCTTTCAAAATATGCATACAGTAAAGAGTATTCTCAATTTGAAAATAATGTCTTGATGGAGAAAAATCGTATTTTGTTGACTCATTCAAGCACTTTTTTAAGTAGTACTGAAGTCCTTAAATCTTAGTTAAATTTTATAAAATAACATGCTTCAGTACTTGTGATTTATTAATCCATCCTATTTTTTTGCTTTGGACGTTTAAATTTTTGGAAAAAAATCAAAAATACAAAACAGTATTCTACAATTTAACTTTCAATCTATAAAATCAACTGATCTGAAATCTTGCAAACGTTTAGAGCAAACATGGTAAATCGCTAGTCAATTTTTTATATCTTCGGCATTACTGATTTTCGATACGTCTCTAAAATTGTCAGAAACCAAAAATTACCGGACTAGGAATTTTTTCAGCTACCTATAATATCCAATTTAAGCTAACTATTCGAACACGTACATGTTATTTTAGAAATAAATAAAGAAAATGATGTCTGTAATATAAAAAATCTTGTAAAGCCGAGAAAAAAGTCTTCGGCTGGTCTTATTACTTTTCAGCTATGGAGGGTTATATATACACTCGCAGTTCCATCCGTTAAAAACAATATAATCAATAAAAATGTTCTTTATATAAAAATTGGGACCAAAAATTTTATGTTTCACTCGCCCGAAACGAGTTTTTGCGAATACTCGTAATCTAAAAAGTCTTGTTTCTGGCTTTGTACTACAAATAATTATTCTTGCATATCTCCTCTCAAAATCTGACGTCGTTTCAGAATTTTTCTATCCTAATCTCTCTAAAATGTGCAAAATATATGGACGGAATTTCACCACCAGGAATGCTATTTTGCTCGGTTAATGTTTAAGAATATAAAGTTCAAAGTAGACCAAAGTATTAAATATCTAGATAATGTTTCTTCGGTTACAAAACCTCCACCTTATCACTTACAATAATATCTTAGATACGATGGAAAATTACTACTTGATTGCGAAAACTTGGCCAAAGATATTATGTAATGGAACTGGATGAAACTTATTTCGGACTAAAACTCTCAAAATTTCAGTCCACCGTGGTAAAAATACGATCAAAGACAGCTACGTATTTTTGTATATTTATGATAGTTGAATTTTAACAAACTTTCAAACTGACAGTATTCTGACAACACGAAAATTCTATCAAAGACAAATTTTCAAAAATCCATTGCTGTCTTCGACTGTGTTTTTTACTGCTCTCTCGGTATATAAATACCGAGTTGTGTCCTATTTTATGACACGTGGTTAAGGACTATTTATGGAGCAGCGAAAGAATGATTAAAAAACCCTTCAAAGTTTAATTTTTCTTTTCAATATTTTACCAGATTGTAAGTCACTATTGTCTTTGCCATTTCTATTGAAACACCACCTGTTGATTTTGCTTAAAATTTAGCAATTGGTAACAGCTTTCGGTTGATTAACAACGGCTTTTAGTTCGAAAATTGTCTGAATATGGACGTTGCCAAATTTACGATTAACAAGTGGTGTTTCAATAGAAATGGCAAAGACTATACTTAGGTAAGTGTTTGGGTACATAAAATTGAGCGGACTTTCATTATTCAGAATAATTTTGTAATATAACAAAAAAACTTAAAATGGTTCAGGATAAATCTGACAACAATGGCTAGTTTTCACGTTTTTTGATGTATTTATCGAAATCGGTGTTTTGTTTTCGTAAATAAACGTCAAACGTAAGGAATTTTCTAATGATTTGTCTCGAACTTGAACTTGTTTGGGAGAGAACAGATTAAATATTAGATATTAGTAAAATGATACAAAAATAAGTATTTTTTTCACTGTTCACCAACGCCAGGGAATCAAAACATAATATTACGCCTTTTAAATACTATCTTGCGTAAAATTACGAGAAACGAAATTATTTTCACGTTGATTGATGGTGGAGGTTACTACTTTAACTAACATCTTTCTAATAATGGTATAATTTTCATGTCAACTTTCTAGTACCAGATCCATTATTACATTTATTATTGTTTATGGATCCCGTTTTACAAAGCAATAATTTATTATTACAAGTGAGTGAATTTCACCCGCACACTACACATTATTGCATAAAACGATGTCATTGTACTCGAACACGCGATTTGAATACACGATCTAACATTTTTGTTTTGACAGTGACCTATTTATGAAAGACGCATAAACAATTCACAGTTACCTTTACTTTGGAATGGGGGGATTTTCGCGGGGTTGGTGGGCACTTCTTCAGCGTCTTTCTCAATCGGAGGGATGTGAGCTGGTTTTGGATATCCTGCCACAAATACTGGTCTAGGGGGTGCATGTGGGGTGTCCCTAATAATCACGTTCGGTCCCCCTTGTGGAACTAAGAAGTTTCCAGGAGGAGATCCGGGCTGTAGCAGGAAAGGCTGGCCCGGAGCGGCGCCTCCGTGGTAAAGAACTATCTGTGGCTGCACTCTGTAATTAAGTTAATTTGAATACGGCCTTGAGGTAATAACATCATTTGAAAAATATTATATTGAACATGCACCTCCGTTACATAATTTAGAGGACACGTTAATTAATTACTGCCATTCGAGTATGCATTTACGTTTGAAGAAAATTGAGTTGCATCATATGAATTTTTGTGTAATGTTTACCTTTTGTTTGTAAACACGAAAATGGATACAATTATTAGCATTTAATTGGAGCATATATGTATTTTATGTAACTAATTTAGCGAGCGTAAAGTTTTAATTACTTTACTCGAATTCCTCTCTGGACGAGAGACGACAAATTAATATTTGATATTGTTTTACATAGTTGCTTGTATGAATTTTATATCACGATATGTATTATTTGTTTACAAAGGTGTTAATGCGTGATTTGTTACTGTAAATAACAAAGAATAATATTTTTTTATTCCGTTAGAATAATACCATCATGATAACCACATTTCCTTGTAGATACCGCTATTGTATTTTCACGGTCGTGAGTAATGTAATTCATTACTCACGGGTTGCAAGTTGTCGCATAAGACGTCAGGATGGTCACATAATTTCTTTAGAATTCTGGAAGCACACTTCATGATTAGTGTAACATAGTAAGTATGTAATATTTCTGTAAATCTTTCTGTAAATTTTATGTATATGAATTACAACTTATTTTTTTTTTCGAACAACACGAATATGTTAATTTAAAAATAGAAATTAACCCAGAGATAGAGTAGAGCATTTTATCAACAATTTCAGATGACGTCATAAATTTTTGGATGGGAACAAATAAATTGCAAAATTACTGTTTTAGCATACTTACATATACTTTCTGTGGCAAGGATATAAATAAGATGATTAATAATTGCTTTTTTAATACATGAAAACATTATTTTAGATTTTATACTGTTGAGATTTTACTGGCAGTTATTCACTTAAAAAATGATTGTGCAACAACTGGTTTCCTTGGTGAATAATAAATATCATTTGAGGTTAACCAACAATTAACAAATTGCAAACAATTTTCCCCGCATTGTAATACCAAAATATACTCTTACGTTTGCCAGAGTTTGAGGTTGTACCATCGAAATTGAGTCACAAAAATTTGGAAACATTTCACAAAATTAGGATAGTGGATATTTTCGATACATAATTCGACGCTAATTTTCTTCCCAGCTCCAAAATTATGACCACAGAATATTTTTGTTAGCATGGCTAGTATTCATTGTGGGATTAATTTAAACATAAACTAGATGCAGTGAATTGTGGTTAAAAAAGGTAAAAACAGAAACAAGCTGATGGCTATCTCTGTGAGAGAATAGAAGAAAAATGTATGAAATAAATATTTGGATAGATGATAATCAAAGCTTATTTTCACTAAAAAGTTGTTTAATGTTTCTTAGAATGACGTAACACATTTTTTGGAGAGGAGGTATAAATAATCTGAATAAATTCAGTTAAATTAATATTTATAAATAAAGTGTGACAAAAAACGTCCTTAAGTTGGCGCTCGACAAGCAAGTCGTCTTTCTCATCCTCCACAACGCAAAAGGGAGAAAAACAAAGACACCTAAAAATCCAGCGCCGGTTTCCTGACGGTTTTTATTGATCGTACGTTATCTCTTAGAAGGATGTTATGTAATTTCTGAAACTTATTAATTTTGAAAAACAGGTTTGGTCTATCGAAGTGCAGAATTTATTTTGCAGTTTGATGGAAGAAGCTTGTTTTTTAAGACAGCTTGTGAATAATTAGTCAGGAAAACCTACTTATTTCTGAGCTAAAGTGATAGATGATACATTTTCAAAAATCGGGGAAGAATTTTTATAGTACCAAAAAATGGAATCATTTACAAATGTAACGAATTAGTTGCAACATAATTTATTATAAATGTCTTTAATTAAAAACTTTAATAGAAAGTTATTAGGAGAAACGTAATTCTAATTATTATCACATCAAAAAACTATTCATATTACATAAGTACTACTCCTGTTTTCTGAGGTTTTTGAGTTTGTCGTTAGAATGTTAATTATTAAAGATTACATACATAAAACATGCTATGTTTTACGTCCAGTGTAGTAATTAATTATGGAGTGAATTCACTAAAAATCAACAAAAAAATTTCACAAAAAAAAAACTCTAAAACAAAACTGTTGAAGTTTTTAAGATAATTCTTGTCAGGTAATATTGTAATTATATTGTAATATAAAATTCTTTGTACTAATAAACAAACCGAAATTGTTTATTACGTTTTAAAGTTATAATATTCTTATATTTTTATTTATATATTTGTAGGTGTAAATATGGGAAGAACTTTTCAAGATCAGAATATCAACAAGATTTATTGGAAGAAATCATTCGAAAAATATAGTAGATAAACGTAATTAATTGTATAGAACAATAGTTCCCTAAGCTATACTAAAAAAAAGACAAGAATAATTAATAAATAATAAAATTTAATTATTTAAAACTATGTGTGCTCTTCACCTTGTCACGTTTTGATTGGTTAAAATTGAAAGTAAGTGTTGTTCTCAAGGGAAGAAAATTTTAGATGGTGCCAATTGTTTTGGAAAATTTTCATCAGTGCGTTTAGTACTGTAATAACAAAAAATACCTTTATAAAACGTTTAATCTTAACTATTAAAAAGTTTATTTTTTATTTGCCTAAAAAAAAAAAAATTCAGGAGAGACTGTCGTGACATAAATCAGAAACTATCACATATTAGTCACTGAAAACCTTGTCCTTTTCTCTGTAAAATATTTTTAGAAAAAAAAAATAGAAATGCAATTATCGTAACAATAATTTCAAACACATTGTTACTGTTACGAAACTAGCAAACGGGGTGAACTGGTCTCGAAGATAAAACGTTACCGATAACTAGGTGAACGGCGAGTGACAGCTTTAATAAAATTCGATTGATTGTATTGTGATTGCTAATAATGGACCAGCTACAACAGCATAAATATTCAAAGTAAAAGTATATGTACCTTGGAAAGTGTTGTTTATCACCGATAAAATTGTACGAAGGAATTTGGAATTGAGGATCCAGTAGAGCCACATCGTACTGCAGTTCAGGAGTATATTGTTGTCTTTCAGGTACATAAAGCACTTGTTTGGGTTCAATAGTCCTGCTGGACATTTGTGGAGGTTCTGGTCGAGGCAAGGCTTCTGAAGAATACACCGCCGCTACCACCAAGGCTACGTGAAGAAACATTTTGCCTGCAAAATGACACATAAATTGGCATCTAAATTTAGAACGAGCATCAGTTTGGCAAACAATGTTGTTCTGCTATTGTGTTATTCACCCCATGAAGAGAATTGAGATTCTGGACTGGAAACGTGGACTCTCACCTCCATCAGAGTGTAGATAATCTTTTATTGTTACATGCTGACACTTTTAACAATAACGGGTTATTTAAGAACTGAAGGTACGATTACGATAAAATGTGGATGAAAGTAGTTGTTTTAATTGATAGTGAGCAAGCTTAAGTACAGACCGTTATACGGAAATTATTTAGATTACACACAGGATGTCATTAAATTAAATCGATATAACACTTACATAATTCATAATTGATGAGTGGTAGGTACTCGTACAAAAACAAATATGAAGTACAATGAAAGAATGGACTTAAGTAATCGAAATAGCCGACAGTAAACATTTTTTATTTTCTGGTAGTTTGTTTAATATCAAACTTTTTCAGGTTTTTTAATATAAAACTTTCCGTATTATATTTAAGACCTTTTTAGACTTCTTTTCTTTTTGCTGGTTACTACGACTGACAGACTTGCTGTGATTTAAAAAGGTCGTGAATGTAAGATCTATTTATTTATGTAAATGTTTACTTGGTAATATATGAAGCCCACAGGCAATTTGTCTTATACTACTCGTTTATCAAAGACACCCAGATTAACAAAAACTCTTTTTTTTTTACTGAATATCTCAAAATATTGCGTGTATAAAAGAAAAACAATTATTATTTATTGAAAATAAAATTTTTCTTTAAGATATCCATATTTTATTGTTAAAAAACTAGATGGAAATTCAAACAGGTTCCAAAATAGGATGTGACACTTGACACTAACTATAAACTATAAATTGTGCAATATCGACTTTTTAAACTCCTAGTGCTTTTAACTAACTGTCAGTACCTCCCGGTAATCCCTTATATATAATTAATTTTTATTGACTTTATATGCTGCCAGTTAAACATGAAGTGAGCATGTATATGAAAAAAATAAATTGTTAGGATTCGCGTGTTTATAAGTAATAACGTCGTTAACCCAATTTTTAGTAGTTTTTTTTTTATTTAATTTTACTCTCTATCGTTTGTCATAAAAAGGTTAACACAGTTAGAAGCGTGTGATGAAGGCAGGAAAAAACAAAGATCTTAATTTGTAGTAAAAATTCCAGAATTAACCTTTTAGTTATCGTATCTTTAAGTTTTTTTTTTTTTTTCAATAAACTTCATAAAATGTGGGTTATCGTTAAAACTTTTCTCTTGACTGCTTAATATCTTGCCGCACGAATCTGAATCTTGAACTAAATTACATTTAATTGCTGAAGTGTTTTTTTTTCATAGTGGAAAATTTTATTGTTCTTGAGAAAGTAAAATTTAAGTAATTTTCAGCTAGATCTATCTAAAAAAATATTTTTTTAGTAATCGCGAAGTTTTTGGCTTCATATGGTGTCAGAAATACTTTTTAGTACTTACAAGCGTAGTTTCAATTTTACTTAAAATAAAATGTATTGGGTAAACTATATGTGGTAATTTAAAAATTAATATTAATTACATGTTTTGTTCTCTAAATATTTACGTGTTTATGTATTCTCATGAAATATGCTAAAAGGGGACAAAACATTAAAAACACAATTAGAAAAACTAATTCAAGCTGTTTTGATAATACCTATTATTTTATTAAATTGCAAAAAATGCCAAATTTACTCCACAAGTAGTGCCTACACAATATATACAACTGCCAGCCAATAAAAAAATATCTAAAATTTTGCATTAATATATGTAGATCAATTTTTTGGTTTTGTGGTGTTAGATACATATTTGTCAGCTAAAGACAAATCAATACAGAAGTGTTCAGTATGACTAAGAATAATTTTTTGTAGAAATAAAGAATTTGTCACAATTTACCTTTTTCAAAAAAATATTATTTTCAACACGTTGTAGGAAATAACAGATACCTCTAGTTTTCGAAATAAGAAAGTGGCGGTTATATTTAAAAATAATAATCGGAAAGTTCAGGCGTTTACTAGGTACTGCAATATTGTTAATATAATTATTTTATATCATATGAAGAGTAATTATATTAAAGAATGTAATTTTCATACTTGTTTCAAATAACACTGAAATCGTAAAAATTATAGATACACACAATAATTATTGTTGTTACAATTGTTTCAGTTCTATTGCTATTCTCTTTTGTTAGAGCATGTTATTCGGTTTGTTTCTAATTTCAATCGTAAGTTCTGAAAAAACTTCGAAAATATTGTTGTTCAAACTTCAACAAAGAGTCAATAGTAAATATATATTTTACATAAAAAAAAACAACTAGGTTCAAGTTTTCTACTTTAATATTCAGTTACATTTTTCTTTCATCGAAATTGTTTTTAACCACATGAATACAATTTTTTTTAATCATAAATCTTTCATGTAAGTCGTAAGTTTTTTATGTACCATAGGGTTTTTTTAAAATTAAAGATAATTGTTGGTGGCTTAAAAAACAGTTGGTTTTTACGTTTACTGTTTAAAATCATGTCCAGGAATAAAACAATTTACTTCATCAGCAAACCAGAAGAAAAAAATTAAAATCATTTTCCAAAAAATTAAATTAATTTCGAAAAAAAAAAATAAAAAAAATGTTTCGGTACTATTAATTGAACTGCATAATGTCATTAGAAATTCTAAAACAAACCTTACAGTTAGCAAATTAATCAGATTTTACCTGTGAATTATCATACGTACATACTTAGAAAAAAATCTCAATTTTCCCACTAGTCAGCATGAATTTAAATTTTAAATTTATTTTAAAATTTGTATATTTATATTCTTCAAACTTCAAACACTATACGCAAGAAAAGTGTCACAGTTGAAACCGAAATTAAACATTGTTTAAAAAATAAATAACTATAAATCACAAGCCATTAAATCCCGCAAATAACAAATTTAAATACCCCGAAATGCATTAAAATTTTATACGGTTAGAACCAATTAAAAACGGTTATCTACCGTTTCAGCGACGAGTTTGAGAAAACCCGCTAGTCCCTCGAACCATTTAAAAAATTAAAAAAAAAAACACTCACCTAGTCAAAGTAGCCCCAGCTTTGTGCACAAGAGTATAGATAAGCAATAACTCCTTCAGAGGACCAACGACCTCTCTTATACACGCCTGAAGGAGGGGAGGAGTCACCAATGCCAAGTGTCTTCAACGTTGTCCCGATGATACCTTATATTCATACAGACATGCTGAATGCACCTCACGATTTTTATTTTATTCATTTGTGGAATATAGTTTCTTTTCATTCTTGTAGTAACTCGTCACTTTTCGATTAGTTTTTTTCAGCTTAAGGACAGTTTGTATTCCGAGCGTGTTTGGTTTGTCATCATCTTTATCGGGGCACTGCCAAAAATTCAGAGTCAAAAGTTCATTGTCAAGTTTTTACTTTCGGTTGTGTACATCGTAGTTATTTGGAGATTCGCTTTCTTTGCGTTTTTTAACTGTGTATTATTGGCGTTTTATGAGCGTAACATAATTTCATTGTCTAGAATCTATAAATAATTATACCTATGTGTGGTGAGATGATTGATGTGTTAAAACCGTTTGGCATTGTTTTTAAATTAATGATAGTTAAGGTCTGTTTAGTTTGGATTTTGAATAAAAAGTGTTAAGAAAATTAGGTAAATAAATAATCAATATTATACCTAGAGGAATTATATACATACATATATGCATAAAGTTTACGAAACATGCAATTTTTTATCTATAACTGTATATCCTCGCAAACCTGATGCAGCTAACAGGACTAAATTGGGCGCTATTAGCACTTATTACAGAGAGTAGAATGTAAAGTATGTACAACTTATAATTATGTAAATTTTGAATGATATATTGTTAATAGTTCTTTCGAGTATCTGAATATTCTACTCAAAGTTTTTGAAGGTATATTATCAAAGATGATTTTTTTTCTTTTATAAATACGTATGATTACTTTTTTGTAAATTTGAGGTATACTAGCAAAATATTTCTTTTTCCTTTACTTTATAATCATAACTTCTACTACTTACAAGAATGCAAATTATTTTCTGTATTGCTCTAAAAATAAACACAATTTAGTTAATGGCATGGACCATATTAGTGACAGCTTATAAAAAAAGAAACCATTGAAAATTGTTAGAAATTGCATATAATAAATAGTGTGGAAACTGTGCTAGTTTTTTAATGAAGAACACTTTTGTTGTTAGCTACATTGATTACAATATCATATATTGGTTCCTTTTATGATTTGTATAAAATGATGTTTAGTGTTAAGGGTAATTTAGCCAACTGCACTAATTATTATTATATTAGTACCTTTATGGACAAACAACATATAGATGATGTGTTTTCAAGAACTAACATAATGGGGTTCGAACAAAAACTTTTAATATTATTTAATAACGAAGACATTTAGAAGAAGTAGCAAATTTTTTGCACCGTGTTTAACTACCGTGTAGTCACTTAATGTTCTGTTTACTTACAATAATTGTAAAAACCGTTACGTTAAATATAGAAAACAAAGAATTTTTTTTGTACCTTCTTGCGTTTTGTGATATACCAAGTGAACATTTAATTTTTCAAATACGTATTTCCAATTATTTTTAACTTTCCAGTTCGCCCAATATGAAATTTTGTTCAGAGAGGTTTTTTTTTATTTTATATTATGTTGTTTGGGCTATTTTCGAGTACCCTAAATTCCGTCGTTTTTAAACGAATTTTGAAAAATCCAAATAGTTGCGGTTTTTGACGGAGAAGAAACAGTAATAATTCTTTAATAACATCTAACATATAACATTAACAATTGTTGTTGTTATAATCTAATTTTAAGACCACAGGCGAACAAACAACGTCTGGAAATAGTTTAAATCCTCCATGCTATGAAATGTTTAAATATTTAAACCAAAATTTAATTATCTTCAAAAATATTATTATTATTATTTAAAATTGCGGGTACTGAGGAAGCTGTACTTCATATGATTATTGAATATTGGGCGTAAAACTGAAAAAACTTATCAAGTTGGCGCTGATTTTTTGTACACATTATGTAAGTATGTCCGCAATAAACCTAAAATTTAATCGACGCCAACTGACAACGCGGAATGGTGTAATTTAACCTCATTTTTTTCCTATAATAAAATTAACGCTTTTCAATAATTCTGTCAAATATTATTTATACACAATATTACAGATTAATAAAACATACGTTTTTCGTCACATTAGATTCGTTGAAAAAAATTGGTCTAAGGTTATTTAGACAGAATTTCCCTCGCCCCTGAAGTACAATACATTACATCACATATCCATTAATATCCAGTTGTTTTTCCAAAAATGATAAAATTTTATTTTGGGAAATTTTATTTATTTTATGACTAATAACCCGTGTAAGTTAAGAGTTGTCGCTAACTTATTTACAACTTTCTCTGTATAACACAAGGGCAATTTTTTTAAAACAAAATTTCAGTTATTTATGTAAATTTCGGAACACGGTTTTTATAACTGACCTAACAAAACTGTAGAAATTACGGGTGAAACATTGCCAACTTTTTGTCGGAAATGAGATGCAGGGTCGAAGAAAGTATCTCATTTCCAACAAGGAAAGTCGACAATGTTTTTCCTGTGGTTTCTAGAGTTTTGAACGTTGAAAACTGTGTTCTGAAATTTCCATAAGTAATTGAGACATTTATTTTTAAAAATATGTGATGAAAAATTTCAGCAAAATTTTAAAAAGAATGTTTATGATAAACTGTGTAAAATCTATCCTTGTGCTATACTGTGTGATCTAAAATGACTGAGTCTCTTTCTAGTACTTTTTACTGAAAACATCGTGATATTAATTTCAACTAAAAATCCAGGATTGCCAACAGACTCAGTCATTTCTGATCACGCGGTAGGTTAGAGAAAGTTGTGGGGAGGTTATATTTAAAATTTCATAAAAATTTCTGTTTAGAATGGAGGTATTGCATTTTGAAAATGTATTGCATATTCCAAAAGAGCCAAAGGTAGCGAGTCCTCTTAAAATAAAAATATAGATAACAGTCACAATGTAAGAAAAAAAGTGGCCCATGAGGTGATTGGACGAAGGGACCACTGGACTGCTCTCCATGTTATTATGTAATTTTTTTTTTGCGAAAATCTAGATGTCTAGAAAAAAAATCAAGACATGTGATACATAAATCATACATAATTATAAGACTATGTAATTTTATAAAATTTAAATAACATTTACCATGCAGAATGTGGAGGTGACGCTATTTTAAATTGTGATTTTCAGCAGACCACTGCTAATGTAATTGTGCACTTGAAAATCGTGTTTCAAATAGCAACGAAACAAAAAACAAGATCTTATTTATGTTTATATATCGATAGTTTAATTTGAATGAGTTTATCTTCTCAAAACACAGGACTAAAATTATTATTAATTAAACCACAATCGAACCAAATGTTCTGAATATTAGAATTCTTATTTTATCGTTATTATTTAAAGACGTGCATATTCTTCATATTTTGGAGAAAATGGGGTGACTTGTTTGACCAATAAAAAATTTGTGACGACGTCATCAACATGGATAATACTAGTCACAACATAAATGAAAAGTAGTCACAGGTCACAGCGTATTATCAGTGCAAGAAAAAACAAGGACACGTATATCAACTTGGACTGGTGCCGTGTAATACTAAAAATAACAGCACTGTATTCCCAAAATTTTCTGAGAAAATGGAGTGAGCCGTTCCCGATTTAATCAATAAAATAAATTGACTCATTCATTAATTTTTTTGGCCCACCGGTTTAAGCATAACTGAAAAATATAAGTAAAAATTCATATTTTGCACATTTTGGGTAGAATTTATTCGGCAAAATTTTGAGACGATGTCATCAATTTTTTGGGGTTAATAAACATTTTGAATAAAACGTTACCATGTTAAAAAGTTATAACTTCAAAACGTCTACAATATTTAAAAGTATTCAGTTTTGCAATTCTTGATTTAATCAATAAAATAAACTGACTCAGGCATTAATTTTTTTGAGGCAAATCTAAAAAATATTAATGCAGTGATAAATCAGAAGTATGATTGACTCATCATATTTTGCACATTTAAGATTTATTCAGCAATATTTTAAGCTGACGTTATTATTTTTTTAGGGGGATGAGCAAAAACATTTTGATCAAAAATTTACGGTGCTTATGATAACTTTGGAACATCTCCAAGATTTCAAAACCTTCGGTTTTGCAGTTCGTGATTAAATCAATAAAATAAATTCATGCATTCAATAATTTTTTTTTTCACCTTGTATAAGCAAATCCAAAACATATCAAAGCAATCAGTTTGGCAAATTCAAAATTAAATTGCAAAATGTTGTTTTATAATTTTGATTTTTTTTTTTTTTGGGTAAAAACTCAACACGGACTCATAAACTACATGTATCGCACTATGTTATTTTACACAATTTAGATATTCCTAATATAAATACAAAAAACAATCGGCCAAGTATGTACTTTCGGAGATTATTTTCTAGTAAAAACCGGGACGGCAGAGAGACAGACGGACAGGCAGACGGAAACGGGACATCTATTTCTTCGTACTTTGGGGGTCATAAAAGGTCGAGAAAACGTAAAAGTAGAAAGTCGGCCGACGGACTCGATTACAATACTTCCTTCGCTTACGTTCGGGAAGTAAAAACTAAGATAACAAAAATAAATAAAATAAAAAGCAGAAAGTTAATAGAATAATGAAAGCAAAAAAATATGCATTAGTAAGGATTGTAACAATATTAGTAATTGTAATAAAATAATTATCTTCTTATTAATTTTTACTTGTTATAGAAATTGTCTTGATTTTATGATCTTAATAATGTGTATGTTATTTTTTCCGTGAAATACATCGTATTATAAGCATTGTGCAACTGCGAGTCCTATTAATTACGTTTGTTTAACCCCTGCTTCGTATTTTCCAAACATAATTTAAATAAACATAACAGAGAAATTACTAGTTAATAATTTACATCTCAATAAATCAATTACTCATGTGGGTGGGTTTCAACACTGGAACAGGTATACTTAGGTTCATTTATTTTCATTAAACGACGTTTCATTAATCTGAAGCATTATAATTAATTGGATATATGTACGTTCCAAAATTCTATTGGATTAATT